CCCCCACTCTGCCTGCTCCTGCCCGCTTGCTTTGCTTGTGCTTGCCTTGCACCAGAGTGACGTGAAATTGATTTTCACTCCATCTCGCCCGCAGCAGACGACCTCCCCCCCACCCTCCCGCGGCGAGTCGACGCGAGGCCAAAAGCGCCCTTCCCCCGGCCTGGAGGTCAGCCTCCCCCTTACGCCTTTTCTTCGTGCGTCGACTGTATCCCGTCTCTCCGTATCGCCCTCCTCCCCGCCCCGCCGTCCCTCCCCTCTCGCTCGACACGCCACTGCCTCGTGCCAAATTGGAGGAGGGGGTTGTCGGAAGTCTGACCAACTAACGCGCGGTGTCCTCGTGCGAGCCGGTCGTGTGCTCGGCCTTTTCTCCCCCCAAAGCGGGGGCGGGGCTGGGGCAGGGGCAGGCAGGGCGGCCGTGCTGGGGCTGCCACTGGCAGTTCTTCTAGGGAACAATGGACAATGAACGGGCAGGAGGCCTCGGCCAGGCCTCGGCGGGCCTGGCGGGCCTAAGGGTGGCCGGGTGTGCGGACCCGACCTCGAGTCGACACAAGGTCCGGTAATTGATTACACCACAGAGATCCCGGTCCGGCCTCGGCCCGGTGCCCCACAACTCTCGCCAAATGTCGCTGCTGCTGTATGGTTTTGTCGAGGTCCTGAGGCCTTGCCGCGCGCCATCGCCACTGGCCGCCCGTTTCTCATGCTTCCACGGCCGTTACTTTGTTTTTGCAAACCCCAAAATGTCGTGTGTTCAATTCATGTGGCTTAAGGCGCACAAGCAAGCAGTATGCTCGGGGGTCGCAGTGAACAAAACTTGGTATGAAAAGTTCGTGAGCCAGCAGCGGCTTTTCTCCCCTTCCCCGGAGCCGTGTTTTCATTTCGCAACCCCCGTCTTCCCCGTCGCGCGATTCTTGTTAGTTTCGGTGTCTGCGTATCATGTCCTGCCAGTGCCACACCCCGCTCTGCAGGACTAGCCTGTCGTCCTGCCGCCGAGGGGCCCCGAGGCCTGCAGCAGCCCCCCTGTTGCAGCAGGACGGTGCTCGGGGGGACATCCTTTGTGACGAGCGAGACGGCGCAAAGGCCAGCCGGCCAGTCGGGCCAGTCTGCACGCGAGAAGAATGACAAGATCCCCCACCAGGTGCACGACGCGCACGCTGCTGCAGCACTGCGCGCCGCGCCACGCCACGCCACGACGCGCCTGTCTCTGGGGTGCCCTCACCTCGCTCCCTGTCTCCTTCAGCAGCCAGCATCTCGGGGCGCGCAGCCGCGAGACTGAGAGCGAGCGAGAAACGACGACAGCAGCAGCAGTAGCAGTAGCAAGAGCCCCACGCAGCGAGACACGTCATTGGCTGAGTATAAATAGCTTAGGCACGCTTTATAGGCAGACGCGGCCCCCGGCCTACCGTCTCCAAATCTCAATGTGCAGCACGGGACAGGACGGGGTGCGGGGCCCGAGGGGGGG